TTCTTCCATATGCGTATCGTACATTTGAACTTTTCTTTAAACGTCAATTAAATATTGAAAATATTGATGAAATTACTAAACTTCTTTATGAAACATCAAATAAAAAAGTATCATTTGAAAAATTTTCTCAAGATTTTCAAAGTTATGCTAATAATCAAGGTCAACAAGATTATTTAAATGCAGAAAATGAAGCTGATCAAAATAATGTATTTGGTGTACCGACATTTATTGTACGAAGTGAACCATTTTTTGGAAATGATAGAATTTTCATGGGTAAAAAAGAGATTAGATTCACTTAAACTACATGACATATAACCATTACCATATCTGGATTATAACAACATCTGATAAACATATATATATGTGATTTTTATTGTTGATTTCATGTATTATTTCAATCAATCAACGATTTAATTATAAGTAACAATTAGTATAGTTTTTATTTTCATCTCGTTTTCATCTTGAGTAAAAATAAATGATAATATTTGTAACAAAATAATATTTCTTTTTGTTATCAAGTATGTATATCAAACACAGTTATAATGAAGTTGTCAGTGAAAGTATCTTTTTTTAAAATTTCATCATTGCCATTTCTTATTACTGAGGCGTCTATCGTTCAAGTAGATAGTAAACCAGATTTTGGCCAACTGGAATTTCACCATATGAATTTCGACAAAACAATTTACTTTCCACAATTGTCCGAACTCCATGAGGACTTGGACAATAAACACAATAGTTGGTTTACTTGCAAGGAGCCAACAACTGAAATCAGATTTTTATGATTAAAAAATATACGACAAAGATTTGAGTTTTTTTTCTCTCAACTTGAAATCAAAAACATCACTTTTTTGTAGTTATTATGGTAAACCTCATACTCTAAATGTACCACACGTCGTCTTTTAACAATCAAGTTCTATCTACAGACTTGAATTATAAGAAAACACTTAAAGTCAAAACACAAAACGTACAAGACCAGACCTCTTTGAATATGTAAGGGTATGTGTGTGGGTGTAGATCTTATCTTCAAATTCACACCGTCAATCATAATTCTATCCTTTTTCGTTTGGAAAACCAATGAAACTGAAAGGCGCACCATTGTCCTTGTAGAAAAGTTTAATCCCGAAGACATCCTCGGTCAATGACATTTGTATTTTAAATAGGCATCAGTTAGTAACATATTGTTCACTTTTTTTCAATAATTCAATAATGTGATTAATATTGGATGAAATAATTTTCACTGAAATAGTAGTGTCACAGCAACGATTTAACTGCTGTTGTTAATATGACAACTCCATAAAAAGATGTCTTCTCTGCTGTTACAATCGACAATTGACATACTTAAGAATTGAATAAAGGCTGACTTTGAACGGTAGAAAATTTGATAGATTTCTTTTATTTGTGATCAAATCCTCTGCTCGTATTGTCTGAAAGATGCATTTGATTGCTTCAAAAACTTTTTATGCTATGAAGTGCCTATAATATCACTCATTTGTCTAATAACGATTCTGTCTTTCAGTGTTTGAATGATATCCAAAACCAGTTTATGCAGTCAGTGTTCGCCCGAGTAACCCAATCCTCACAATGTGGCAGTCAAACGTTAACAGCATATTTTTTCTAAAGAAAGCTCATCATACACTCTTCTTTGTTACTCTAGAACATGGGTGTGGACGTGTGTGATTCTTTACTTCTCCCGCACCGATTCCCAACTCCTACATCCCCAACGCCTATATTATCGTTGTTGTTCTATCTGGATATCGATTGTAGCAGACTATTGCACATGCTATTGTTTCCTATATTGTGCTTGTAGCGCTTTCAACATAATTTGGACGCAAGCATGAATATCGTGCTTGTGCATCTACAGTTACTGTCGATAAAGAAAGAAATACTGCAATTTTCATATGCATTTTTTCCACTTAGGTGCAATGAAATAAGGACTCCTTTTATATGCTGATTTGAAGATGCTTCCCCTTTCTCCATTTTTTTACACCAGTTTTCGTTTAAAAAAAATCAGGTCCGACGATATATGTTATCGCTAAGTGCCAACAAGTAAGTTATTCGGTGACTCAATGCGTATCTCTGTTTCTCTTACTCTCTTTCTCTAATGCATTTAAAGGCAGCACGCTCATTTTTCTTTCATTCCATTACCCCGCAGGAGACAACACTGAATTTCAAGTATTTACAGAATTTTTCATGTACTTATTACGTTTGTGGATGTGAGTTAAAATCCAACTCATACCCATACCAGAACGTATGCTCGAGATCACAATACAGTCGCACACCCATGCTTACATCCACATCCATAGTCAGTTCATGATTTGTCGGATTAGTCGCTTGAAAATTATAGAAGAAATCGAAGAGAAAAATGATTGAAGAGCAAATTCATGTATGAAGAGTTCTCTCAAATTATTTCATTGTGATCTATCACATTTTCGATCATCAAAAAAGTGAGTCTAGAGGAGTAAGGACATTGATGAAGTATATAATTTAATGAATAAAGCAGTAAGAGAAAAAGCAGTAAATAGATTGAAGAGTTTAACATTCGAATTGTACATCTACATTATAAAAATAACAACGAAATTCATTTCGAATTCAATGAAGAATAATGACACTAGACCTCAACGATTTGTAAATTTGCTCGAAATCTCCAAATCATCCAGTGTTTGTCTAAAACTGGTTTGCTCAAAATTCTATCTTATCGTGAGTGAGATATCGTTTGAGGCATGAATCAATTTGAAAATATCTATTTCCTTATTGACGTAAAAAAGAAAAAAATTCGAATCGATATATGCTAGTATAGTGCACGCTATGAACAGCTCATATTTTAAATCAGTTAGTTTGATAGAAAAAAAACATTCACCTAACCGAAATATGATCAATCTTTTTTACTTATAGAACAAGATTTTCCATTGTTAGTTTTAAATATCAGATTGAATTTATTCTTTTTTCTAGATCATTCTCTATAAACTGTTTACAATTATCAATTGAAGCTTATTATAATACAATAAATTTCAATTTTCATATAACGTTTCTAGTTTAAAACTTAATTCAACTCTGTTATAGCACTAAGATTCTTCAGAAAAATTCATATATCTATCACACAGTGATCTTTTAGCAACTAAAATTCTTTTGATTTTTTTTTCTCAATGCTTTAGTTGTTATACAATGATGGTTGATTAGTTTGTGTCAATTGTTCAATAACTAAATTAGTTAATTAGACTGTTATACATCGAATGTTAAGACTCGAATAGGATTAGTTAGTATATACAGAGATCTAAAGCTAGTAAGATATTTAACAGTATTGTATATCACAAAGAGTTGTGTTCTTATTGTAAAGCATCGATGAATATCTTTTCGGTCGGATTTAGTACATGTTTTAATTAAACGATATGAAACAATAAAAAATTGTTTACATGATCAAGTAAATTGTTGCAATTGATTCATTTCGTTTTTTTCAAAATCTAAAAAAGAGAAAAAACTATCATGAATTATTGATGCAAGACGATTGCATAACACAATTTTGTCATTTGCTACTACGCCATTATTTCTATTTCAATTAAATAGTTAATCATTTTTCTTAAGAATATACTCTTACTTTTATGAAAAGATAACAGTGATGAATATTGAAAAAATTTTCTTTACTGGATTTTATGTTCACCTAATATCAATCTGCAATGTTCTAAGTTATAACGAGTGATATTTGTATTTCTTCCTACCAACACATTTTAATGAAATAAAATTAATAAGCCACACACCCACACCCTAACCAAAAAAATAATCTTTCTCATGCACCAATGGATAATTCGAGCACAGGTAAAATGACATAGATTACTCAGAGTATATTTGGCTTAAAATTTCATTATAGGAAACGATAATCATAGAAAGTAAATGAGAGGGTGAGACTTTACTAGACAATTGCATGTTATTGTAGGTCTGGGTGTGTGTGGGCGTGGATGGGATGTGTGAAGTTGATGAAGAGTTATCCACATTCACACCTTACACCCACACTCTGATATAACTATTCACAAAGTTGAACATTTTCCTTTTAACGTATATCTACATTTTCCACTAAAACTAGATAGTATTCAAGTTTCTCTCGAGTACTAAATGTCTTGCGAAGCACGAATCTTGATAGCTCGGAAAAAATTAATAAGCGAGTGTAGAGTAAATGTCACTCGGCATCTCTTGCCAGATTGTTTGAGTTTTGCCGAAACAAAACGTTGCTGTCACTGCTTATGTATCGAAAATGGAATTTTCCATTAATTACCCAATGAAATCTAACTCACAGTTGAAAAGTAGTCATGATGAAGTCTTTCACTATCTCCTATCTCTCGTCAAGTATTTTACGTTCTGTTGAAACCAGATGTTTCTCTCGATATTTGTAAATCGAAAAAGTTGCATTTTCATCAATCAGTTGATCAAAATTTAACTGAAGCTGAAAAATGCTCGTAACGAAACGCATCAATGCGAGAATTCTATGAAAACGTAGCAACATACTGTTATAGCACGCCGCTCATTGATCGTTTAATTATCTCAATAATCCATCATCTCTAATCAGTCGTATCCAGAGCGGTGTGGGTATTTATCTCTTTAACAACACTCACTCAGATCCCGTCTTATATACTAATGGAATTCTTTAGTATTCATCTAAAATGTAATCTTGATGCGGATGTCAATGTCTTGCTCAACATGCGATTGTTTTTGCATCTTTCGAAGATTTATTTCAATGTAATGTCCTGTTTCTTTCAATTGATATAATTAGCAGTAACAATCACAGGCAAAAATTACGTTTCAAAAACATCGTTTGATTAAACAAAAGCAAATCTTAACAATTGATCTCCATTACTTTCATCAATACCTAAATCTTGAAAAATTTTATAATTGGTCTTCTTCCCAATCTTGTCAATTCTCATTTGTTCATGTGTCGTATAATGTGATTTCATGATACCTTTTAAAACAAATGGATTAACGTTCGAAGATTTCACACCTGTGGGCCAATTTCTCAATTTTCGAAGTTCATTAGCTATATGCCATTCTTGATCAGTAAATATCATACGATTATAATTGTTGATTGACGGAACCATATTTAAGAATACTTTATCTGTTTGATAGATGATAGATGGTGTTGCTGTGACATAGTAGGTGAGTAAAGACAATTGTGGTTGTCGTTGCTTTCGTTCTTGCATTCCACGATAGAAGTATTCGAATAATGTTATCGTTAAACCTGTATTTTTAAATTTTTTATTTACTATGATAAAGTTATGATAGGTAACTGGAATCTGTTGATCATGATCGAGAAAAGTGATTTCTTTCTCAAGTTGAATAAAACTACTCACTAAATTTAAATGCATCGCGTTTATGTGTCGTACACTCCAACCCAAAAATGTGTCGTGCTTAAAATGGGTGTGGATGATAGAACACAGGATTACAATCACACCCACACGTCACCCCCACACACCCTTTAGATATTGATAGAAATATACTCACAATGTTGTATATTGAATGGTTGTGATATGAACGATTTACTTGTTAGATTATACATAGGTTGTATACATTCATCATAAAGCTACATCCTGACGTAATAGAATAAGTAAAATCATTTTTGATGATTTTTGTCAGTACATCCGTCGTTTATTATGCTACTCAGATTGATGATAAGAATCGGTCAATATGGTCTCATCATCATGTTTGATAATAGATTATGTCCTTTTCTTTTTCTTCTTTTTCTCATGTTTTCGAGAGTGGTACTTTTAAATAACATGTGTGTACACATGATTCTTTATTTCGTATGTAATTTCATGTTTTGATCTGCTGGTACAGTGTAGAGATTTGCAAGGCCAAAAAGTTATAGATATGAAATTTTAATGGAGTTCCAATTGCTTGGCAAACACATCGACAAATGGGATGTAATTTAACGTGATCGTATATAAAAAGCAGAGACTCTCAAAGATAGTCTTTATTCTAAGGATACTGATCTTAGTTATATTATGAGTTTTTGTGTAAGCTATAGTATAAGAAAAAAACTTCAATATACAGAAATATATACGGATAAAGATGAATTGTATTAACAAACACAAATGTATAAGATAAGATGTTTACAGCAAGTTCATATTCTGTATCTCGATGACCTATGACTTCTGGCGAAAGTGTGTGTATACGTCCTAATGCCGAATATTGTCATCAAACATGAGGCTATTATTGCGAACAGAGAAATTTCTAGATAGTATCAAATCGAATGTTACTCTCAGGTCGATTGCCTATGCTTATATGAAATAAGACTGAACTATTAATGTATGTAAGACCAAATAAGCTTATAAAAAAAACAATTGTCCATCGTGCCACTTTTATTTTGCTAAATTATTTTCGATTAGCATTAGGTGAATTAGACATTATAGTTTGTACTTGTAGTGACATTGATAATTCAAGACTTGCAGCAGTTGCATATTCGAAAGTGATTGAATGCGCAGCATTTATTCACAAAAAGACAAAGAGAAAATGAAATATCAGAACGGTCTTAGCCTGTCATAGTTTGCTTTATTCACTAGTGATAGTAAAATATGATAAGACATTCACGGTTTTTTGTCACACACTGATAGAGATGAAAATTCATTCACTCACTTCAATTATATACATGCAGTGGAATTGTAACGTTTAGTATGTCTCAATTAGCAATAATTAGAAGATTAGAATAACTGGTAATAAGGCTACAATGTGAAGAGATGAAGAGTTCTTATTGGTTGATTGTTTTGTATTTTATTTCTGAAAATCTAGGTGATGCTGCATTATTTTTCTGTTTTGATAACTTAATCGAACTTAAACAAGGCTTAGAAAAATAATAATTTGACAAAGCACTAATTATCATTTTTACTATTGAATATTTTGTATAGTTACTCATCTAAAGAAATCTACGAATTCTTTTAATAACTTTTAATAAACTTTATATTTTTATTTCGAAAGATTTCATTTATCGTTTAAACAATATTTTTTCAATAATAAAAAATGGTGTTTCAAAAAAAGTAGCAACTAATATAGCTGCAACGTAGCTAAAAAATATATGTGAAATAAAATTATTTATTACAAGATGTCCTTGACAATAGAAAGGCATAGTTTGATTGAATATAATAATATGAAGTATGCTCGTATGAACTAAACACCATGAATAATTAAGCCGAGCTAATGGAATCCAAATAGGCCAAGATAAAATCTTATTTACTAGGGTGGGCGTGGGTGTGGGTGGGTGTTTTCAGCCGTCTCTTAACCCACATCACACCCACACCCACATCACACCCACACCCACATCACACCCACACCCACATCACACCCACACGCACCCACATCTACACCCCCACCCCCCCCCCCCCCCCCCCCCCCCCCCCCCCCCCCCC